ACCCTTCCGTTCATTTCTTCCCCTCAGCCTTTTTCGACACCGGAACGCTTGCGACTTCTTCTCTAGTAGCTTAATAACATGTCGACGTCTTTCCGCGAGATCATCAGTTTGTGTGTGGTATATTGCCGCGGGAATCCCACAGGAACTAACGACAGCCACGGAACTCGTTTCTCTTCCGAGAAACGTTATTCATGAATTCATAGGCGATGTACATAATTACTTCTAGAATTGCATCGATTGTTGGACTGGCTGAAAAAGTTTGAAAAAGGCTAATGCTTGAAAAGATTTTCAAATTTCATGGGGTTCAAGGAGGACTGAGAGAGAGAGATTGCTTGTCGCTGCATTCAAACGACGTGGAATTCCTTTTCTGTAATATCTGCTGAAAGTCTCATTCAAAAATCAGTGCTGATCTTCAAATCACTTATACTGTATCAATAATTTTCGGGGAAGAAAATCTATAATCACGCCTCGAGACCGAAAATACTACTGATTTTATCAAATTTCCAGGCTTCCGAAGTCCCTTTCTTCTGAATATACTTCGCTAGTCTTATTCAACAGTTGACAGAATAGCTCAGCATACGTTTAAACTTCTCATTTACTTCATGAGTTTCAGCGAGTATCAAGTGTTCTTTAAAAATTGTGGGGCGCTGAACTTGAGAAAATTGCTTTTGCGATGAATGCAATGTTCACGCACTTCAATTACAGTATTCATACACTGGAACCCGCGCGGAAACCTGGTCAGAGTTTCGCTTTGCTTTCTAAAATACCCAGCTGCATCTGGAAAATACGTGAGACACTCATGAGAGACAATAGAAGCTCAATTTATTTCAACAAAGAGTTGCGATCAGCATTCATATTCTTTTTGTGATGTAGGACAGTCACAGTGCGGTGACTCCGACGTTGGGTGAGGCGCTGCTGCTCGTCGATGGGGGCAGCTCATTGTCGCCCACCACAGCAATATTTGCACTCACCAGGGAAGATAACTGGTCAAAAATCACCCTGGTCCCCGACATTCCCGAACGCATGCCAAGAAAAGCAGCGCTAGGACTCGAATGAGCATATGGGTCACTCGTCTCCCTGCATCATTCCTTTCCAGGGGGTCGTAGGGAGAGGTGCACCCTGCGGCTCCTGCGTGTGAAGTGATCTCAAAAACAGTTCCCCTGGCATCTGAAGTTGCCATCCCACCCACCCCCGCTTTCCGTGCCCTCGTTGTTCGACGAAATCACGAGATTCTGCCGAGAAACGTCCCGCTAATATTTTCAAAACAATGATTTTACCCTTGCTTCAATGGGAGAACTGAGTTGTGACTCGGTTAATGGACCTGATGCGTTCCAGAGAGAAGTTCTTTGGATGTCTTATATGAAGGCTAATTCACTCCAGATTCGCTAAAAAAATAAATCCTCGCCACTTATTTGAAAAATTTTGCAGAAAGAATATGCTTGAATTTTTTTTTCAAAAAGTGTGCTCAGGGCGGATATTCAACTGCATGAACATATACAAATGCGCTTATCTTTTGAAATTGGGAAGCCTTATCCCATGAAGTCAATATTTTTGATGGTCAATTCATTTTTCCGTAGTTTTCAATTCGGAGCATGGTTCACTCTGGTAAGCAAAAGTTCGTAAAAATAATTTAAAATTAAATTGATTTCAATTTGAAAATTGAAACCTTATCCGATTGTAATCGAGAGTGTACCAAAACTCTGGTTATCCTGAAGCATAAAAAATCTCTCCTTCGATTTGGCCAGTCCAAATTTTGATTCACCCCGGGAGAATAGAGGTCAACAATTTAAAATAATCTATTGATTTCTTTCAGATCTACTCAATTTTTAAACTCAGATTCGAGTTAGTTTACGACCAACACAATCATTATTTGAGTTTTTACATTTTCGAATGGATTTCATGTCCCACAATATTGAATTAGACTGACAAATGCTTATGCTCATCATCACGAATAATCTGAGTTCCACTGTTCTGTGATTCCGTCTTGACTTTGAACTTCTCGTCGACGTCTGCTGAAAAGCAAGCGATTCCGTGTTCAGTTTTCATGCATTCTGCGCGACTGATTCATCATCGTGAATTGTGAATTTCGACGAGGAAGCATCGGCTGCTTTTAGTTCGTTCGTGAAATTATGGGTCACACGACATCTTGTGAGCATCATGCGACACTGTATAGCATGTTCATTAAGAAGAATACACTGTTGTGTGGATTCCCGTCCCTTTCGTACTCGTGTGACACTGTTGGAAAATGTGTCTATAATTTTATTGTTCTTTACCCCTTTTTCTAAGCTAACCGGAAATATTCAGTAAATAAGCGCTCATAACAGACTGAAAGACTGTCAGAATTGTGGTTTTTGTTTGAACTGCAAGAGAAAAGCCAATTCTCAACGCAGGCAGAAATAATTATGAATGGCTGCTTGATTATGGAGAAGACTTTCAAATATATTATCATGGCATTTTTATAACTTGGAGTCAAGCTCTGCCCTTAATTACTGATTGCACAATGAGTGACTGAATGGATCACAGAGTTCCGAAACTTTATACGGGGGTTATTAGTAAAACGAATGGTAGCATGATCATAACCTTCTCGAAGGAATGTAATTCGATACAGGAAACGAAACGGAAGGCTGAAAAGGACCTCTGCATCTGTTCGAAGTTTGCATACGTTATTCATGACCTCCATCAACATTTTCCGTAGGATTCTGCAATTTTTCATGTTTTTGAATATGAGAGCAATGGGGCATGGGACGTGAAGAAATCTAGGGGGTTGATCCTCGGCACTGTTGCGGTGACACTCTCCAGTGACAAATTGAGACTCTAATGGCAATGAAAAATGATGATGCCGTTCTGGTCTTCCGCCAGCTATTGTATGGAGTTCAAAACAATGAGTCGAAGTCTGAACCAGAATACAGATTGCTTTTCTCCAGCTGTTACAGAGTTGAAAACGTTTTTGATCTTTCGACTTGAAATGTTTTCCATCCTTCTTCCTTGATCATGCACTTCTTGACTGCGGAGTTTCAATGATTTTCTCTTGCTCTGGAGGAGAGAAAATATATTGGATTAAAAGGCAATATCCGCATTGCGATTTGAGGGTTGAGTTTGAGGACTTTTCAGCAGGGAAAAGCTTGAATTGCATGACAATCTAATTTATTATAAAAGATAAACCCCAGATTCCCGCTCATCAGATGTCATTGAACGTTTTCCATGCTGAATTTTAACGAATTCAGCGTATGTTTGTAAAAGGAAAAGAGATTCCGTCAAAGTTTTGGGAACTGCGAAATTCTTCCCATTGTTTTGAACGTATGTAATATAAATCGATTCATTCATTCACCGCACGATAAATGCATCTTGTTACAGTATCTCTGAAAATATTAAATAATATAATGGCTTAATTAAAAGTTATATTCAGTTCAACGGTTGGGAATGGCTATGCTGATTTGAGAGGTATTCTTGGATGACACTCACTCTGTTTAACAAATCAATAATGAAAGATGCCGAACATCTTCAAATATTTGTTCAATCATTCGCATCCTTCGGCTGGATTTCTTGGGAAAATGATCAATTCCAGTAAATGAATGCGAAAGTCATCACCGAATACCCCTCATATGAAACCGTAGCAGTTTTTCTATCAATCAGTATATGCGTATACTATTCAAAGAGGTCACCGGCCAAATTACTTCGGACTTCTCGTACGGATTCTTCTCGAGCGAGTGAAAACTAATGAATTGCTATTACTCATGTTGAAGTGCTTCATCTCATCTTCTCACAGCTGGTGTTCTGCGGAAGTCTTAAGTTGAAGATTGCTAATTGACATCGCTATAGAAGGATGGAAGGCCATGATGGACAGCAGTTACTTATACGCTCGCTGAAAGCCTTCCTCGCCGCAGTTCACTCACAACCTCAGCAGTGTGCTCCCGACGCTGCAGCGAATTCGAACACTTTACCATTTCTTCCTCTGACAAAATACGTGTGCAGCAGAAACCAGTCAACACTTGAGATAAAATAGGATGCAACTTCATTAATGTTCAGTTGTATTTCCGTTTCATCCCAATTTCATCAAGTGACGCGGAGCCGAATCTAATTGGTAAAACCCCAGAGAGAGGCCAAGTTGGCCATCCGACTTCCGTATGCGGAATATCAGTTTTGCTGAAGTTGGGTTCGAAGTTACGGAATAAGTTTCCCTCTTGTGCTGGGGTCTAAATAAAAAAAAACTGGCATATCTCGAAAGACTGGACTCTGTCTCTGAGACATTACCCCGTCGGAATAATTTGCAATGCTGAAACATTTCCAACCGAGTACAGTAATACGAGCATATATTGTGTTTCCTTGAGTGCACTAAATCCAAGTTTTAAGGTGATGTTCTCACCGCTAGAAGCTCATCATGAGCGTTTCCACATGTGCCCTCGAGGCCCGAATTTTATGAGCAGTACGTCTTTTTTACTGCTTTCCTGTCGACTTAGCAAGACACGTTCGGGATAATAGGATAGTTAAAGTTGTTACAAGGGGTTCTATCTCCCCATGGGAGGACGCAGAAGCAGCAGCTTCTGGGATGCTGAGAGACAATGACTCAGTCGTGAGGCGCATGCCTTGACTGCTGGCGAGCTTCTGGTGTAAAAACGATTCCCGATCCATTTGCCATATATCATGGCAGGAGTCGCACCCTGTCCACGCCACTGCTTTTTCTTGGCTCCCGACAGTATCTCCGACTGACCTGCATCAGCCAGCACTCCTCACTGCCAAACATAACATGTCCTTATACACTTCTCGCTTTTCTGCGGTAGGGAAAATAGCGGCTGGATCGTGTGAACCGGCTGCTGCTGTTCTTTCTCTTATTATTTTTTTCCGCCGCGGCAGCCGTGCTGGGGGAATGCCTTGACGAGAAAGAAATTGATAGAGCGACACGGAGATTATTCAGCAGAGTACGCTTTCGCTTCGAAGTGCGAAACTGGCGGATTTGTATTTTTGCTGAAATCGAGTGACGAAGAAGTGCGCATTGCCGAGTCATGGAGCGAGAGATTCCGGAGGAGGTTCGTCGCCGACGATTGTCGTACAAGAAGCGGGATTCTTTCTACCACCAGAGCTGGGAATCATCAATCAGAAGGCCGTCCCATGTTTCCCCGAACCCTAGGGGTAACTGGGGCTCGAAATGGGAATTTTTGTTATCCTGCGTTGGGCTCTCCGTCGGCATCGGGAACGTGTGGCGGTTCCCGTACTTGGCTTATCAAAATGGCGGCGGTGAGTTAGACATGCTGTTCCTGTAGCTGAGAGAAACCGTTGACTTAATTTGCCCTTCANCGCAAGGAATAATCCATCTTCTACTTTTCGCATTGTGCTTCACTGATCTCTTCATTTACTCCACTGTCATAAAAATACCATACTCACAATACAAAGTTATTCTGAATCAGTATTCCGACGATAGAGTCATTGGCAAATCAAATTAGCGTGTATCACGAGACACTGTGAGTTAAAGCAATGTTGAATGCTTGGAAAGTCTAAATACGGACGTTGGACATTTTTATTTTATTTCTTCGATTGATTGACTAATCTTGAAAAAATTGATGCAAGCATAATGAAGGAATCTAGCAAAACGGTACATGAATCCTGGCCCTTCAAGAAAATTCTATCTCTTCCACACCCTGAAAAAAATATGTGCCATTTTAATTCTTAAAAAAGTTTGAAATGTCATTCTAAGCATCACGAACGTTTCCATTTTATGGATCATCTTGAAAATGGTTGACTGCAATCCATCGAAAATCCGGCGTATATATGAAACATACTTCTTAAAAAAAACCTTCAACTCTCATCATGGAATAACATGCGCTGTATGTCGCAATAATGTATCTCGATAAAAAGTATTTCATCCCGAAACGCTTACTGGTCGTGAAAATGGTGTGCTTGAAAGATGACGTGGACATGATTAAAAAAAGATCAAATTACATTAAAATTGATGGTTTTTCCATGTGGTAGATAAAACCTTACAACAGATATCGCAGCATACGTAAAAAATAAAGTTTTTGCGCTGATAAATTTTCAGCCATACGATAGAATGCGTGTATTGCGAGAGGAAGAAGGAGAAAATGGGAAACAAGCTAATTGGAAAAATATCCAATTTGCGAGTATTTTCGCAAATATTGTAATGTTTTCGAATTATCCCCCCAGGGAAACAAACTTGATTAAATGTCTGAAAGTATGAGCCATTCAATCTGTCGGGCTTTACAAGATGCATGAATTCATTAATTTTTCAGGAGCTTTTTTGATCCCGTACTTGGTGATGCTGATACTGGCTGGTAAACCGATTTACTTCATGGAGCTCGCCTTTGGCCAATTCGCGGGCGTTGGACCCTTGGCCATTTGGAACTGCGTGCCAATCGCGAAAGGTTCGCAAATGAAGACGCATTCAACGAAGAAATACTAAGTCAATATGTTACTAAATATCTGATTTTCTCCTATAGGCGTCGGCTGGGCAATGGTGACAGTGTCGCTGATCGTGTGTATTTACTACAACGTGATCATGTCGTACACTATGCACTACTTCGTGTCGTCGCTGTCTTCTGTTCTGCCGTGGTCAGTCTGCGATCCGGCCTGGGCCGACATGTCGACATGCTTCGTCGACATTGCCGTGAGTGCCTCGGAATCTCTCGGGCTTTTTCCCGGCTTTTATAGACACTCGAAAATGCTTCTGCCGAAAAATTCTCAGTCTCAAGGTGGAAGTGGCTGAAAGTTTCTATTGCGTCTCAGAAATAATTCAACCGGAAAGTATCCTAGAGCTAGACTACCTAGACATTGAGATGGAAAAATTGCTCGCAGGAGTTTCTTGGGAAGTCTTGCGCGTCACCTTCTTCTGGCAGTCCTTCCCAATTTGATAAATTTCAGAAAATTTTAATATCTGCTCAAGGAATAGGATTTTAAAACTTGCGATTATTGCACAAAAGATTTTCTTACTTATGAAGGATATCAAAGATCATCAGCAGTTCAATGCTGATTAAAAATGTGCCTGATTTTAGGAAACCTCGTGGGAAATATACTTGAAAAATTCCGGAGCCACTGGAGGAAATCCATTTGACATAAAGAATTCTAGTCCGTGAAATTTAAAAATGAGATATTAGTTCGAAAACTGTTGAAGTCTTGAAGATACTCCTATAAACTATAATCACTGGAAATACGTGTAATTTTGTCGCATCTTCATACGCAGACGAAGACCTGACCTTTTTTCAAGAACATGATCTATTAATTCATCATTTTTTTGATAATTTTTTCGTCTTCAGCCATATGATGGTTATGCGTGACTTGCGAGCCTTCCGAAAAGCCCGTATAATTTTCTTTTATCATGGACTTACTACGAAATATTTCGGAAAATGTCTTCGCTCACATTTCGCGTTATGCGTCATATTATAAACGATTGTTACTTCTCATCCAATAATGATAGAAGTATGAAACCGAAATTGTTATACTTTTATGCAATGTTTTTTTCGCAAGAGGTGACATTGATTGATATGCTTTTGCTGCCCACAGGACTACACGAACAGCAGCCGGGCCTCTAATGGAACTGAACTGCAGCCAGCAAGTCAGCAATACTGGGAGTACGTTGCAATCATTCTGAATGCTTTTTGAGGTGAACTATATCAGGCTTCTGATCGATTGCAGGAGATACGTGCTGAATATCAGCCCCGGGATCGAGGAGATGGGGACGGTCAAGTGGGATTTGGCGCTGTGTCTTCTCGCATCCTGGGTCATAGTAGTCCTGTGCTTGGTCAAAGGCATAAAAACATCGGGGAAAGTACGCATCTGGATATATACTTACCCATCATGTCCGCAGCTGGGTCTCCACCGAGCTTTATTGTATTTTACTGATTTCGTCTTCTCAAACTCTTCAAGCTTACGAAAAACGTTCTGCCTTAAAAAAGAAAGGTTTATTGCCATGAAAGAAAATCTGCTGTCCTGTAGTGTTCCTGAATAACCAAGCTAATCCGTCCTGCAATCCCGTTCATTTTGGCCGGAAATTTTAAAAAAAATGTACAGTATATTGCTATTTTCTGAGGAGTAACTATATTGATTTTTTTTACAGATTTATTCATGTTAGATGATTATTAAAATCATTTTGCGTTCCATTTCGTGAGCAAAGTTTGTTATGCAAGTATTTTACGGCAATTTTTTCTCACGAGGTTCATATTTGCTATGCAGAAAATTACAACTCGACTTTAACAAGACAGAACCTCATCGAATCAGACTGAAGCATACATTGGAACATGTCGATAAATTCAGTAGAAGCTTGATCAGCCCTACCAATGGCCAAAGCATGATGGAAAATTTAGATTAATCAAATACATATGCATTAGAAAAGTATGCGGCGGGTAAGATGAGCCTTTTTCAAGAATCATCTGATGCAATATTCCTGACCTCCCGTAAATCACGAATTGCCCACGCATGAGCTATTAAATTATGTATCAAACGGAGAACGAATATGATCAAATATTTAAAATTGTCATTCAGTTTCAGGAAATCAGTGCATTATTTGCTATTTATTACCCATGCCTCCGATTGTGTGATCCCGGTGTCTTCAAGCGGAGTCTCAAAATAGCTTTCTGTTATTTTTCAAAATACCCAGGTCGTGTACTTTGCTGCCACATTTCCGTATGTTATACTGCTGACGCTTCTTGTGACCGGCTTGCTCCAAAAGGGAGCCATGAAAGGGGTTCTTTTCTTCGTCACTCCTTCCTTCGAAAAACTGCTCGACATAAATGTGATACTAAAGTTTTGTTTATAGTCTTGCCGACTCAGTTCTATAATGTCCAACATGCCTTTCAGGTCTGGAGAGCAGCTGCTGGCCAAATGTTCTTTTCCTTGAGTGTTTCCATGGGCGGACTTATCATGTACTCCAGTTACAACGACTTCCAGAACAACGTATACAGGTTGGCGATTTATTTTCTCTGGCGTATAAAAGTAAACGATTTCCCAGGAAGGTGAGATCAACAGAAAGAAACGCGGTTGAGCGATGACGGCAACTGGATGAGTTGCAGTGCGAGACCCGTGGGAAGAACTCCATGGTGACATGAAATGTTTCTCGAGGGAATCCCGTGGAAGAATTCGAGGAGAAGACCGTTTAATCGATTGAAAACCATCTCTCTCTGTGTAGCTCTATGTGTTTCTAACGGGAATAGCCCTCGAATTTGTCTCCAAATGAGGCCAGAGAGAAGAATGAGTGACGGAGCGAAAAGCGTGTTCCGCGGTCGAACGGGGTGACGAAAATTGCGGATCGCTTCCTCTCATACATATAAAGGGGACTGAAGCTTTTTATTTTATCGTATAATTTCCCTCCGTTTTCTTCGTCGTTAATGACAACGGAGGTGCCTGAAAAAGAATTTTTCTGAGGAACTTCTTCGCTTTTCAAATGAATTATTTTCCATCAGTTATGAGGACCTTATTTTATCGATTTTAGGCCGCCGTTTCTTGGTAAAAAAAACATAACATGTGCAGTTTTAATCTAGACTCAAGAATGCATTACACCGAAGAAAACATAATACTGTAAATTATTCTAAGAAATTATCACGTTTTACTATGCGCGCAGCCTTTTTTTTTGCCTACCAAAATTCAATTTTAATTCGGCCAAGCCAGGAAATTACATCAAATCAGTGCCAAAAATCGGGGTCCGACGTCACTGTATACTTTTGTGAATGCAGAAATCGCATCCGCAGGGAAAATTTAATAATTTAGAAGGCCATAATTATTAAATAGTTTCAATGTATCATCATCTCTTCGAGCGCTTCCTATAATTATAGATTTAAACAGGGACCTTCGAGAACTGAATGGAATGAGACAATTGCCAGCGCAAATTGTTAGCCATTTGACCAGGTATAATATGTACGCTTCTACACGGGAATTGATTCAATTATCGATATGAGGACACGCATTCGTTTTTTGAACATCAATGTCATGAAAAAGTGGTTAAAAATCTTTTGTATGATCTGTGTTCTTTATTGAGACTGGATCGAGTATGTAAAGAATGTTTACGCCTTGTTGAAGTTTGCTCTTCTTTTCTGAGCAAACCAAAAAAATCTGCGAGCGACGCATGATGGGACGATCGATTAGAATGATTTACTGTAGTATCATCATTATGCGATCGAAAAGGCTAGGATTCAGTTCAGGACTTTAAGCGGCCTTCATGCAAAATTAATGTCAATTGCAGGGATGCGATGGTAGTGAGCGTGTTGGATACAGCAACGAGCATCATCAGTGGGATGGTGATCTTTTCCATCCTGGGAGCCAAAGCCGAAGAGCTGAACATCCCGATCGATGACGTCGTGAAGGACGGGCCGGGTCTTGCGTTTATTGCATATCCGGAAGCACTCCTTCGCCTGCCCTTCCCACAGCTTTGGACGGTATTGTTCTTCCTCATGCTCTTCATCCTCGGACTGGATAGCGAGGTTCGTGCTCTGGGAAATTCGACTCGAACCTGGGAAACGCTAATGGTCTAAATCTCATAGTTCGCCTTATTGGAGAACGCGCTGACGAGTTTGTCTGACGAGTTCGACTTCTTCCGTCGGAACAAGCTGGCTTTGACGATCTTATCTGCCCTTGTGTGCTACCTGCTCGGACTGCCTTGCGTGATGAACGTAAGGCTCTTCCTGATTCATTCGTCTTCGGCAATGTCGTTGTCAAGTGCAGTTATTATTGGACGACGTTTCTATCTTCCGGGTCTCTGTAGGGAGGCGCATATTTGCTGACGCTGATGGATGCATACGGAGGAGGAACAGCGATCATTTTCATTGCCATTGCTGAATGCGGAGCGATCGCATACCTCTACGGTACTATTATTAAAAAAATTGTAAAACTGGAATGCGATTGACACTATTGTATTAGCCGTATTAATTGTTTGGCTGAACAAGTGGACTCCCCTCCGCTGCTTCGATTTCATTCACAGCGATATTCTCGATGCATCCTTTTTTTTTCCTCTTTTCAAGTTACTGACATATCTTTTATTAATCCATGGACCCTTACTCGTATCTGCATTTATACTATACATTATCGCTTTAATGAAGCTCTTTGTTCCTCTACATACCCTGTTGCTAATGCTGGAAACGTTGTTCATTCTTCCCGGGCAAACATTAATTTTGTGTATCAGTAGACAAGTTGAACAAAACTGTGAGTGGACGAAAGAAATATTATTGAAGGGTATTTCCTTGCAATGGGGGTGAGAGTAAACTTACGTATACAGAACAGTTTTAACGCATTAATTAACTCAATAATTGTGCGACCAATGAAAATATTAGGGCGGTCTTTGATGCATTCGCAGCAACAAAACATCGTTATCTAGATAAATTCGGCGAAGAAAAAGAGCACACACTAACTTTACTTATACATTTTAAATCGAGAAATGGTGCATTTTAAAAGTATATATAAACAGCAGTCTATCTATAAATGAAAACAGATGATCTTGGAGACACAAACGCGGAAACAGAGGTATCATAATAACTTCTTCGATATACAAGCGCTGAAGTGTAAGTCCGCACTCCTCAGTATAAATTATACCCCTTTCGCTTTTTTTTCCCTCTCATAAATGAGCTCAGGGATTTTTGACTGGAATTTTCGAAGAAGGTTAAAATCTAAAGTTTTTTTAATGCACAGATAAATAAACTCTATGGGAATTCTCTATTCTCTTATCTACCCTTCGATTCGTTGAGGGGTTGCGTTGAGAGTGAGACTGACCTCTATGCTTTCTTATTGCACGCGCTTCAACGTGAAATTCCTCGTGATCCGCTTGAGCAAGCGAAAACAACGAGTTAGCTTCCGGATAATCCTTTTTTGCCAACATTCCAGTGCATCAGCTAAAACCCTAATTTCGAAATACAAGCTACTCTTCTCGAGCATCCCCGGGTCCCGAAAGTCGAAAAAAATAATTTTCCCTGATGGATGCCTTTCACCGGAATTCATTTCTAGGATTGGGCAAGTTTTGTGACGACATCGAATTCATGCTAAACGTTCGTCCAGGGTGGTACTGGAAATTTACGTGGGCGTTTTGCGCTCCTTGCATCCTGCTGGTGAGCGAAGGCGTTGTTTTTGCCATTCAGATAACTGTTGACTACATTTTATACACAGTTCATCTTCGTGCTTGCTCTGATCGAACACAAACCATTGAAATACGAGGATTATGACTATCCTGACTGGGCAGACGCAGTTGGATGGGGCTTGACGTTGATATCTGTCATAAACATCCCCCTGTGGGCCATAGTGACGGTCATTCGCATGCCGGGAGAGAACTTCAGAGAGGTACTTACGAGAATATCGCCAACCAATGGAAATGTAAACGATAGTTCATTGGATCAGACGATCCTGGAATTTAATTCCACTCTATGTGTCTTCTGAAACGTCCTCATAAGAAAAATAATGTCCTCAAATCATAGTTTGCAAGCCTAGAGTTTCCCGAACACGCATCGATTACAAATACTGTATCAGTGTATTTGGATGTTCTGATATCTATATACAGGATTTAAAAAAAAAACTCGGCGATATCGTGAATATTCCTTGATCAAGCATTATATGAAGGCACCGTATGTTTTCATCACATCGCATTATCTACTGCGCACATTTACTAATTTTTACGCGGGATTTTTGCTTATTGTTTCAAATACAAATTTGATTGAACAGCGTTGAATGTTCAAATGCAAAAATTATAAACTGTAATGCATTGAGGGTCGCAATACATTTTAATTGTTGAACAATAAGAATCAAGCCTTGATTTGGCCAGAAGTTTGCGTGAATACCACTTTACACGAAGCGCATTGTTAAAGCATACTGTTGGGGTGAACTTGCTTCTAAGTTGATCGTGCATGACGTGATATCAAAATTAACGAACAGTTTGCGTTGTACGTGAGTAAAACTATAAGAAAGTGAGCAAATATTTGCTTCCTTTCGAGATTTTAATGATTGCTGGTTTTTCAGAAACTGAAAAATTCCCTGAAGCCTTCAGACGATTGGGGACCTTCGGATTTGTCGAAGAAAGGCGAGTGGCAAGAAATGGGTGCGTCACATTCACACGCCGTCTTAAGCCTGACCCAACACGTACCCGAAACACCGGCACAAGAAGACCCACCGGCAGTACCAGCAGCAGTACCAGCAGCAGTACCAGCAGCAGTACCAGCAGCAGTACCAGCAACAGTACCAGCAGCAGTACCAGCACCACCACTGCCTCAGGTCCCAGAAGAACCGAGTCACCCACACCCACCAGGGCATGTCTCCTTCGCAGTCGCCGAAACGACCACCGAAAACCCAACCTTCTCAGCCGACATTCCTTGATCCTCGGGTTCTAAGGTGTCATTATTCGGATCTAGTTAAACGATATTGCTGACGGTCATGCGCTTTACAACTTTCGTTGGTCCGGAAATCTTTCGATCTGTTGGTTCACCGAAGCAGCGATGAAAGTCGCCGAGATGAAGAAAATATCCCAAACATGGTGTCTGTTCAAATTAGCTCTCGTAGGATTTCGTCAAGTTTCTTGAAAGGTCTCCGCAATAACTTTCGCATCTTTCGCCATTTCTATGGCTTCCAGTCCGGAAATCACTGTCTGTTATTTTTCGTGCCCTATTCCCAGCGAGAATGAAGCGCATCAGCGAATTAGATCAACATTCGATCACGCCATTGATGGAGACCCGAATCAGTAATTCTGCGATGAACCCAAAGCACTGCTGGTTGCGACATCGAGTTTCATTCGCAGCACAGGGTGCATATCAATTCCGCGTGGTCGCATCTTCGGGTGTCTTCTGACGGCTACCGAACACTTTTTTTGAGATTCCGATCGACCTCATGCAAAAAGGAAAGAAAAGCGCGAGAAAAGCTGACCAAAACAGACGCAGTATTCTTTTTTTGCGGGACTCGGAAAACACGTCCGTGCCTGTGGGAGAGGCTAAGAAAAGTTTTCGTCTCCTGCGATGCAAATGATAGTGAGTGTTGTGGAAAATCGCGGATTTAACTGAAAAAAACGAGAGGTAGTTTTTTTTAATCATCGTCGGCGTGAAGAGGAAATCAAGTGAGCGAAAGAAATTACAGTGATTTGTTGGCCGACGATGCGTGTCGCTGTCGGAATCTTCCGCGAAATTCTGCTCTAAAAATTAAGGGAAAATCTTTTCATGAATGGGAGATGTATGCTGCCAATGGCGGAGAGAAGTTATTTAACGTGAAGTTCATTCTCCATGTACGTATTGTCATTGTTATGTACTGCTGTGATAGAATAGACAAAAAATTCTAAAAACGACTCAAGTGATATTTAAAAACATACCTTCCTCTGTGAATGATGATGTGACTTTTCTCAAGTGTTCATTCCGATTATTTTTTAGAAAATTCTTGCACCATCAACCCATTAAATAACCCACATGCTAGATATTCCTGAGTCAACATTTCCCGGATCCGCTGAATTTAATAAGGTTTGGATTATGAAAAGCATATTCAGGGCAATGAGTAAACAGTCAGGACACATATCGCAGTGAAGTACTCGGCCACTGACAAAGTGATCAGCTCAGCTGATGCCGATGGAGAACATATTTGAGAGATACGAATAATTTTCAATGATTATTCCATTTCCCAACAAAAAGCAACGTAAATTCAAACGATACCTTTCGGAAAAGATCTCGGGATTTTCGCGCGTGTATGTATCATATCATACATAAATCATGTTATGTTCAAGCACACTATTGATAAAACTAATGTTATTTCAACAGCAAAAAATGCTCTCCTCCACGTACTGTACTTCCTGATGTCCGAGGTTTCCTGAGAATTCTCAGAATCATGGGCGTCGCATTCTTTCCAGTCACCTTGGAACTTGAGCTTGAAGAAGAAGAAAATTAATCGCCATAACTCAAAGATGCAGGGTCATTCATCATTCAAGGATCTGCACCCGTCAGCCACCAGAGCTTGATTCTACCGTACTTTCCTTCGGCATATTAGGTCGAACTTTCCGTTTAATATCAAAGGCTTGACTCATGTGGAGAAATTGTGGTCTTTCAGAGTGAGAATAACCAGAGAAAAGCACTTCCTGCTTTTCCAGGATAACACAGGACACATATCGCAGTGAAGTACTCGGCCACTGACAAAGTGATCAGCTCAGCTGATGCTGATGGAGAACATATTTGAGAGATACGAATAATTTTCAATGATTATTCCATTTCCCAACAAAAAGCAACATAAATTCAAACGATACCTTTCGGAAAAGATCTCGGGATTTTCGCGCGTGTATGTATCATATCATACATAAATCCTGTTATGTTCAAGCACACTATTGATAAAACTAATGTTATTTCAACAGCAAAAAATGCTCTCCTCCACGAACTGAACTTCCTGATGTCCGAGGTTTCCTGAGAATTCTCAGAATCATGGGCGTCGCATTCTTTCCAGTCACCTTGGAACTTGAGCTTGAAGAAGAAGAAAATTAATCGCCATAACTCAAAGATGCAGGGTCATTCATCATTCAAGGATCTGCACCCGTCAGCCACCAGAGCTTGATTCTACCGTACTTTCCTTCGGCATATTAGGTCGAACTTTCCGTTTAATATCAAAGGCTTGACTCATGTGGAGAAATTTTATACGTACTAAAAGATTTTCATTATAAAAGCTTCCTCTTCATGAGATTCCCGGGATTTGAAAGAAATAACATCTTGGCCTTCAACAAGAAAAAGCTACACAAGACGTATTTTCCAGGACATTGAAGCATGTGTTTTGATAGTCCGTTATCCAGACATTTGCTTGAGGAAATACCCCCTCGATACAAGAGGTTTTGAAAAATGAATAAGCTTTCTTTGGATAGCCTTGAATTTAATTTATCTTAAATTGTAGCAATGCTTTGGAAGGATGCTTGTGATATATGCTTTTGCGCCACACACTGATAAAGTTTTCTTTCATGCTTAAGTGATTGTTGCACCATTTGCTTCTTATCACGTTGCCATTGTTCTTGGGTTTAATTATACTTATGCACATGCCGAGAAAATAGAATCTCAAAGGAATAATCACAGGGAACAGTTTTTCTCAGATTACTATTCCTATACATTATAAGATTAAAACTACGTTTGTTTCTCTCAAAGAACGTTAAAAAATCGAATTTAGTACTATAGAAGGCTGCGTAAATGTTCCATCACAAATGCACTACAGGTATTTAAATTGTAGAAGCTAAAAATCTACGAATACAACCAGAAATCAGCAACAAATGTTTCCCAATTGAGCTATCAATTCGCTTTATTGATGATTCGCGCGCTTCCCGAAGCATCACATTGAAAAAAAAATCAAAGCTCTGAATCGGATTATATTCTTGTCACAGAAACTATAGGCTCATACATTCAATGGATCATGTCATTTTTAATCTGGTTCTTCCAAGGGGAATGAGCATTCAACTGCAAGAGTCCCAGATGACAATTAAGTAATGATGATAGGGGTTACCTGCAAAAGCAACAATCATTCATGAGTCTGTTGATCTGTTTCAAAGCGTCACTCATATCTTCCTGCCATTTGTTTTAACCTTGTTCACTGATATGACGATGATACTATATGCGTTTATATAATTCCCAAATTTTTTCAAGACGCATCTTGGACTGCGAGTAACAAAAGTGTGTACATTCAACATAACTTGAGTGTGTAACTAGCACAGAATGTAATATACAGGATTATGCGATGGGGCTTGAATAAAAAAAAAGCATCACCTCGATTAAATGACCTGAAGAGAAATCAACGAAGAAACTAAAATTTTCACAGTAGTATCTTAGTCAAGAAATGATATACTGTACTGGATTAGTCAAAGTTGCCTATGAATAAGTTTTAAAAAATTCCTTCGATTGGGGCAAACCGTGAGAAAAATTATGTGCATAGCGACTCCGGTCACGTCAGCAAGGCCGCTTGAATATCACACTGGGCTTTGAACCACACGAAAAAAGCTGCGTGCGGATTTTATCACGATAGATTGGCTCATTTGCTGATATTGGTATACGTGATCGTTCTCACGCCCTTAAACCGCTTCCGCGATACTATTAAATCTTAGATACTATTAAATCGTATTCAAACACGCTATCCAGGCCTCTGATATTGTTGTGTAGTCATTGTTGCGGTATCCATGAGATGAACGCAACCTGAGCCACTCCTGGGATGATTCTCCGCGTCGGCAGAAATTTGTTTGTCATCCAACAAAGAAATATTCCATTCATGAACCAACCAGTATAAGAGAAGATCCAACCACTAAATGGTGGTTGTGAGATAAGAATTTTTCCAAAAAGAACAGTGACCTGCAAACCGAGCTGGTTTTACGCCTTAAGCAGTAACTTGTTGCTTATCATTGGTCATATTTTTCAAAATATTATTTTTCAACGTCTGATCGCCCATCTGATCGTTTAAATCTACGGGGTGTGTGTTGCGTCACACAGCTACAAAATATTTTCCCTTCTGAACTGTTGAAGCTTATGCATGAATCATTTCCCTCGAATTTAATGGATTCTCTTTTTTTCGCGAACATAAGACTCCTTGGATGCATTTTGTGCATGGATGACTTGGCTGTTGTGACAGAAGTTCATTTTTCACTATTTTCACCTATGAAACATGGGAAGATGAATGTTATTCATCTTATAACATTTACCCTCTGAGAGTGAGAGGTTATGTTTGGCCTTTCTAGACCTCACTAATGATACGTCACTTGTTAGGTGGAACAGTAACAACAGGCTTTTAAATTAATTAGGAGTGTTAGGAGTAAATAGTCCAGATAAAAAGAACAGTTAATTAGCAGGTAGGACATTTCAGAGTGAGTACTATATTTATTTATAAGAAAAAACAGATCAATGGATACATGTATCAGAAGATCTGAGGACAACAGCTGAACCAACTCAAAGTGCAACTTCAACAGAAATGTAACTAAAAAATGCAGCTGGATTGCAACAAAAAAAAACTTCACTGTCTCAAGCATTTATTTTATACCTTAAAAAAGCGTTTATTGCGCTGTTTCGACGTTTGCTACCATAATTAGAAATGAAAGTTCCAGACTGTACTTTGTATTCTATGGCTACGACCTGATAGATTAAAGATGCAGTTTCCATTTAAATCCATTTTCTGCGAAAAGCGCCGAGACGCGCAGCGGCAAAATTTGTTTTCTCTTGATTCGGAAAATTCAAAAGAAAGCCATTCCGTAGGAGGTGGGAAGTTTTGCCGGAAACCACTAACCCGAATTTATTTATAGGTTGCCTGGCCCCAGCTGGGAACTGAGTTCACAGAATTCCCCGATGATGAAAAGCATTTTATTCCGGAAAGAATACGTTGTGTAACTTCATCCGTCGAGAACAGACACTCGGTTTCTGGTTTTGTTTACCGCTGTCGAAGTCGTCCAACCTTCAGACCTTCATTGAGGGCTTCACTGATCATCCGGGTAGAATCTTATTCATGCGCGTTCATTGACGCACGACGATGGACGATGTTCCGAGCAAGTCGGATAAATAGGAGAGGAAAATTCTAGTGATGCTTTCCAGGTAAAACGCTAGGA